TCTATTTGATTATTTCTATTTAACAATACGCTTGTCTTCCATTACATTTTTAGAGTTTTAATAAACGTTAGTTATTTAGTTACGCAAAAGCAAAAATAAATTATAAAAACAATTGTTTTAATTATGTGCATCTTAAATATTGATAGATTGCTAAAAAAAAAACCGATTATAGATTTATTTCCAAAAATATGATAATTGGGATTCGACAGAATAAACAGGCAGAGTGTAATTCTTGTCAAGACTCAACGATTATAGTGGCGACGATGACGCTTCATTTCCGCGGCTCTCCCGATCAATATCAGGTGTCACCGGAACAGTTTTGCCGGCATGCCGAGGAGTTAGCGTGAATTGATTATAACCAGAAAGGAGGATATGGCCATGATAATACGGATGCGCGATCGCCGGTCTCTTGACGATTTAACAATTGACTTACTCATGCGCCTACAAATCGTCTGCCGGATAATTGAACGTGAGTCGCACATACTCTTGCGCGCCGTCATTGTTCCCTTTCATATTTGCATTCTCATCGAGATTTCCTCATCTAAATGCTTCCCTCCACCCGATACTCGCTCGTGAAAATCCCGACGCTTTCCGGAATCTTCTGCACGAGGTAATTTATTCCTTTTATCTCGATAAACAAGCAAGGATTTCGGTTTTATGTGTTTCAAAAAGATAAAAAAAAAATCATCATTTCTTTAAATGTTACATATTTTTTTAATTTGCATTATTACTACTAACTTACTACTTACTTCCTAAAGATTAATTTATATCAACTATTTGTTACTATTGATATTTATTTTGAATATTTAAAATCACAGAAATAAATTCATAAACTCACAATTATATGCACTTATTCATTTGTCTACGGGTATACAATTATTTTCTTTTTTTAATATGTAATTTATTTTCTTTTTTTAATTTTTTAATTAATACAATGCAAGAAAAGCTAAAAAATATTAGGTCCTTTAAAGAAAGAAAGAATGAAAGAATTTACTTCCCATATAACTTGACTAAAAGCAAGTAGGAAATAAAAGTTTCTGTGCTTAACATTTAGATAGAACGGTAATAACAACATTAGAAAATTTTACAGTTAAATATTAAACATCTTTTTATGTTCTTAATAAGATTTCTGTGTTTAAAAATTCTTTTTCCAATGGCAATACAATGCACGATATAATTTACATCTTTTGTTTACATGCATATATAAAATTAATGCTGTTTCAATGCATTTTGTAAGAAAAAAATAAGCAAACAAGATATTACAAAGATTTAGAAACGTTAAAAGTTATCTTTGTATTATAATATTATAAATATTATAAGATATCGTGAAAACAATTTATATAATTTATGAATACTTATAACTTCAATATTTAAACTTAATTGTTTTTTTTAATTTATAAAAATACATTGTTTTTACAAATATGAGAGAGAGAGAGAGAGTGAGAGAAAGAGAGAGATAAAAATATAAAATACATTTGGTTTGCAATTTCATGAAGAACTTAATTATTTCAAATAATTCAAAAATAGTCATGTATTCTCCTTTATCATTAATTATCCCGTCTCGGTATCTCCATACACAACAAGAACCGTCAAGCTACATTTTCAAATTAACAATTAATTATCGCCTATTACAATTAATTATTAGTCAATGCAGAAAGTAACAAAGTTCTCTAAACATATGTAGTGCGTCAACTATAGAAAACAACCTATTACACATATATACCTTATTTGATAAAATAAAGCATCCATCAGTATTCTTTAAAATAAAACAATATATAGCGTAACATTTAAAGCTAGAGAAAGTAAGTTATAAAATAGAATTAGAAATTAGAAAGAGTTATAAAATTTTATAATTTGCAAAGTTTCATAACCTTTTTGCTTTTTATTCGTGACAAGTGATAAAAATAATTTCGATGTAAAATAATTAATTACAAAATACATGATACAATATGATTTGTATTAACATCACGAAATATTGTAAAAATATTATTTCTCATTTGTGAATCTTTCTGTTTATTTAGTTTATTATGTTATTTGATTAAATTTTATTTTATTTAGCCAATAATAATTCAATTATTATAATTTTATTGATTGAAAGAGCATTCATATAGTAAATGAAATTCATGTAGCAATTGTATTGATATAGTAAGTGGGAAGAGCGTTGCAGAAAATTTCGTTAGCACATATATGTGCTGTGTATTGCATCGATGAATCAAAATTACACGAGTTCTACCTACTAGCAATTAATTATTATCCAATTATACAATTTTATAATTCTGAACAGACGAGAACCAGAGAATTAAAATATTTGTGAAATTATGCAGTCAAGATCTCATGGAGTTTCTGGCAAGACGTTATTATTCTTATCTCATATTTTTATATATAAAAAACATATAATCGTGTAATTTTATGTACATTGCTATGCGCAATAATAATATTCTAATAAAGATATATGGACATAATTTTTAACTCAAGTAATATAAAGCATTTTTATGATTATTTTTAGAGAGAGAGTTTACAAATTTAGTTTAAATTTAAAAAGATTTAAATTGTAACAACGAACTGTTTCGTTAAATAAGCATTTCAATTTTTTGTCAGATTCACATGCAAAATGTTGAAATTAACATAACGTGATACATTTCAATGGATTCATATAGATTGTTGAAAGAAATAAGGGCTTTTTTAATTGCATTTATAGAATAAGTGAAATATCTGTAATAATGTGCGCAAATTTAGGAAAAATGCAAGCTGTGATGCGAGAAAAAATTACTGAATACGAAATTGCTAGTAGTCCGCAAATTCATTCGTCAAGCTGTCGCGTTGCCACTTCAATAAAAAAAGAGAATTTCTGTATTCAAGTTTATCGTAGTGATAAAATTTCAATGTCAATCTTGCAATTAACATGTTCTCGCGCTA